ATTTGCACCAAGACAAATTCCTTGTGTGTCCAATTACACTTGGCCAACAAAAAGAATTCTATTCTATTACATATAAAAAAAATGTTCTAGATTAGGGTGCGGTTTTCTTACCTTCCCTGAAGCCCCGTTGACATTCGCTTGGGTTTCCCAGTGTTTTATCAATCCTTCCAGCCAGGACAGCATTATAGAATGGGCTGGCAATCCAGGGTCCCTGTTCTTCGTTTTCATTCTTTTTGTCAGCCTGACGAAGTTGTCCCGCAGTTGCTTCCACTTTTCTCGGTCTGGATCTTCCTCCAGAGTTCTTCCAATTTCCCTCCCCGAATGGGCTGTCGCCTCCTGGTCCTTGTAGTCTCTATCCGTCTCGTGGTACAAATGTTGATACCGCCTCACTTTGTGGGACAGCCTCTCTTCCGGCTGGTCCATTTTGCCATTTGAATGTTCCTTGCCTTCCAGCGGGAAGTCGGATTATCCGATCTGCACGCAAGATGCGCATCCCCTGACTACACAACTGTCTGCCACCATCTGCAACCCACTGATCCCTTCACAGCTTAGTGGGGGTAACCCCTACGTGCAGTTGCAGACAAATCGAAAGCAAACTGTGAGAATCAAGGAGAGAAGCTACCTGGAATTAAGGAGACACTACCTGACAATGAGAACAATTAACCAGTGGAACGACTTGCCTCCAGAAGTTGTGGATGCTTCATCACTGGAGCTCTTTAAGAAGATCCTAAACAGCCACTTGTCTATAGGGTCTCCTGCTTGAACAGAGGGCTGGACTACAAGATCTCCAAGGTCCCTTCCAGCTCTATTCTGAATCCACTCCGGTGGCTTTCCCCCCCCATCAGTGACACATACCTAGCACAGACCTGGAGGTCTATCCCATGGCAATAGACAGACAGATAGAGCGGCACACAACTTCCGGAACCGATGAAGGAAAAGCGAACATTGTCCGGGGGATTCTCCTTGCAGGCAGAGACCGCCCTTCTTCCTTTGCGCCTGCGCGGCAAATTCCACACGCCCCCCCCCCCTCCCCGTTTGGATCCGGAAGTAGTTTTCGAGAAATGCCCTTTCCCTCTATATTTTCACATCTTTACGTTGCTATAGAAACTTCCGGTCGGTTTTCATCCTCCCCCCCCACCTCCCTCCTGCGCAGGGTCTGACCAGCGAGATGCTACGAATCGGACAGCGGCTTCCCCTGAAGGGCGGCCGCGCTTCCGCGCGCAGGCGCAAACTCCGGAGCCCTTAAGTGACTTCCCGAGGCCGCCCGAGTCTCCAGGTTTCCCCCTTTCCCCCCCAAGTTGGCGAGTTGGGCGGTCCCGCCGTCGTACTCCCGGCTCGGTCGGCGGGCCGCACCATGGCTTCGGCGGGGGTGGAGAAGCGGAAGCGGGTGAACCTGAGCGTGAAGCAGAAGCTGGAGCTGATCGAGAAGCTGGAGTCGGGCTGGTCGGTGGCGCGGGCGTGCGAGGAGTACGGCGTGAAGAAGCAGACGGTGTCGGACATCCGCAAAGCCAAGGAGAAGCTGAAGCGGTTCGTGCGGATGTGCGACGTGGATTCGACCGGCGGCGCGGCGGAGATCGGGGCCCGGAAGCACATGAAGATGTCCCAGGAGGCCTCCCTGGAAGAGGCCGTGCTCCGGTGGTACGTGGAGCAGCGGGCCGGAGGGGCCAAGGTCCGGCGGGTGGACCTCAAGGCGGCCGCCAACGCCATCGCCGCCGACATGAAGCTCACCTTCAAGGCCAGCGACGGCTGGATCTGGCGCTTCTACAAGCGCCACGGCATCGACCACAAGCGGGCCTGCGCCGGGGAGGCCGCCCTCGCTGCTGCTGCTGCCGCCGCCGTCGAGGAAGAAGAAGAAGAGGAGGCCGAAGAAGACGAAGAAGAGATGGCGCCGCTGGGCAGCGGCTTCTACAAGCGCTACCTCATGTCGCAGATCAGGTGGGGGCCCTCCAAGGCGGCCGCCCCGAAGCTTTGCAACGGGAACCAACTTTCGATGTTGCAAAAGGCGGTTGAGCCGCCTGTTGTTGTTGTTTTTTATTCTCCAGGGCCGTTGTAGCTTTGACCGGTCACTAAAGGGACTGTCGTAAAGCAAGGACGACCTCTGGAAAGCTACTTAGACCCGGGTCTCTTGCAGTTGGCCACAGTCAACTCGCCACAGCCATGGCTAACACGCCACAGTCAACTCGCCACAAGACAACTCAGTGCGGGACAGGACTTGTTTTGTTCATGTATTTATTATGGTTGTCAATGGCTTACGAGATAATAGGTATAAGCATATAAACAGGAGTAAGACTGCAGGGAAGAGGTACGAATAAATGGGGACAATAGGACAGGGATGGTAGGCACGATGGTGCCACTTTACAGACCGCTTAGGAATGGGGTGAGGTCAATCGTGGATAGTTTAAGGTTAAAGAGGAGTCTTAACGCAAATGCCCAAAGAAATAGTGGGATAGAATCATTAAAGAAAGGATGCAAAAGGTGGGGCAGAATGAAATGAGAATGGCAACAAAAAATTTTTTTAAAAAAAATTAAACCATTAAATAGAATTATTAAATTTCCCCGTGGTGAGTTGTCCCACAGCGAAGTGGCTGGGATGAATTGGCTGTGGTGAGTTGTCCCATTCCCTTAGCCCCTGCAAGAAGACATCTGCAGCTTGAGCCTCACACCTGGAAGTGCACACACTCACAACGCGCACACACACAACCACTCCTCTTTCCTAAATCACAGCTGAGCTCTGGAAGGGCATCCCTTAAAGTCAGAGTGTCTCTTGAAAAAAACAATTCCAACATGTCTTCCATCGAAGACCTGTATACTGCATAAGTCAAAAAGAATATATTTACAGACCCCTCACATCCTGGACATAAATTGTTTCAACTTCTACCCTCAAAACGACACTATAGGGCACTGCACACCAGAACATCGAGACACAAGGACAGTTTTTTTCCCAAACGCCATCACTCTGCTAAACAAATAATTCCCTCAACACTGTCCAACTATTTACAAAGTCTGTACTATTACTATTAATCCTCCCATCCTTCCTGTCACCCATCTCCTCCTGCTTATGAGTGTATGACTGTACCCTTGTTTCTTGTATCCTTACGATTTTTATTGACTGTTTCCTAGTATTAGCAACCTATAACGATCATTAAGTGTTGTACCTTATGACTCTCGATGAATGTATCTTTTCTTTTATGTAAACTGAGAGCATATGCACCAGAGACAAATTCCTTGTGTGTCCAGTCACACTTGGCCAATAAAGAATTCTATTCTATTTTATTCTAAAGCCGGGGTCCCCAACACACATGCCCCCGTGGCCTGTTCACAACCAGGCTGCACCAGTGAGCAAGTTGAGAGCTGCCCATGTGTGCGTTCCGGCCTTCCAACTCGAGTGGCCCAGTTGCAAATTGGGACACAGCCCGGGGAGGTTAGGGAGCCCTACTTTAAGGGACACTGAGTTTAACAGGCATCCTTCCAGATGACTGTACCTGTTGCCTAGGCCACAACTGAATTTCCAAGGTTGGAAATTCAGTTGTGGCCTAGGCAATAGGTACGATTGTGCATACTTCCAGGTCTGAGGCTCAAGCCACAGACATCCTACAAGGGCTAAAATAGCTTTAGGAGCTTAACTATCCCAACTTATAACTGTTCATTTAGTGACTGTTCAAAGCTGCAATAGCACTGGAAAAAAGGGACTTAACAGCTGTTGCAGCATCCCGGTGGTCACATGATCAAAATTCAGATACTTGGCCCTTGGCTCATTTATGACGGTTGCAACATCACAGAATCACATTTTGCGATCAAGCCCAAGTCAGTGGGGAAGCCAGATTCACCTAATAACTTCATGACTGATTTAATAACGGGTGATTCACTTAAGAACGGTGGTGAGACAGGTAGTAAAATGGAGCAAGTCACTTCATAAATGTCTTACTTAGCAGTAATTGTGTACTCAGTTGTAGTTGAGCCATAGGGCTCATCTAATCCAGAGGTGGGGAATTTACTGTATAGATACTTGCTCAGTCAAGAATGGGTGGAAATCACCCTTCAGAAAGGTCCATGGTAGAGAAGAAGACTTCTTCTGAACAAGTCTGGAGACTTTCTGCATAATTAGAAAGGGGCTGTTAAAGTCCTTCATGCTTTACGGTTTGTAATGTTTTTTTGGATAGCTCATTGATTTTATGATATTTTATGCTAACTGCTATGCAAATATTGTTGTTTTTAAATAAATACTGGTGGCTTTTAAGTGAAAAGCATAAGCTTTTTTGCAATTTGGTGCTGTTTGGATGGGGATTGTGAATTTTCTTGCATGCTTACAATGACTGTGAAAACAGATTAACTGATGCCTATCCAGTGGCATACGTGTTGCCATTACTAAGGCCGATGCTAGTGTTTGGTTAACATTTTTATTGTTTGTGGCCCTGAAAACGACCGTTTAGGTAGCCAAACATGGTTACTAATATGAAATTGGTCAACCCTTATTGCTTATCACCACATTGCAATACGTATGCCACTGGGTATGCATCAGTTAATCTGTTTTCATAGTCATTGCAAGCATGCATTGTAACAATGCAAGAAAATTCACAATCCCCATCCAAACAGCACCAAATTGCAAAAAGCTTATGCTTTTCACTTAAAAACCACCAGCGTTTATTTAAATATAACAATATTTGCATAGCGGTTAGCATAAAATATCATAAAATCCATGACCTATCCAAAAAAAACAAAGAGTCATGAACCGTAAAACCATAAAGCGTGCAGGACTTTTTCACAGAGCTATATGTTATGTTGATTATCTCATCCCCAGCCCATAAGTGGAATGGCTTTAAGTCACCCTGGTATAAAAGCCATGTTCCAAATTGTGAAAGCTGAAGGAGCCAGAATCCTTTACTTGCTTATTTCATTCACGGTTCAGTAGCAACCATGTTACTAACTTAACAACTGCTGTAAGAAAAGTCATAAAAATGAGGCAAGACTCACTTAGGAAATGTCTTGCTTAGTGTTTTGGGGCTCAGTCGTGGTCATAACTCATGGGCTACCTGTATCGGCCTCTTTATAACACGTTTCGAAGTATATTAGGTTCCTTAAGTTTGGTCTGCTAAATCTGATCTTTGAACATTCTAGATCCAAGAGCAAAGAGGCGGCCGAGAAAGCAATGAAGGAGGAAAAACGTGCAGATCTCCAGTGGAAAGGAGGGCCAGAAAATCCCACCAATCCAGTTCGGCCCTTGTATATTTCGGAACCAAAATTAGAAGAAACAAACCTAGGAAAACTCCCCTGTGAAATTCAGCCTGAGCAACCGGGATGGGGAGCGTCGCAAAAAAGGAAAGAAGAGCCATTCCGCGGGATGGAAGAGCGCTGGGAAGCCCAGTGGCAGGAGTTCCTCAAGACCCTGCAACCTGCCTACAAAGGAGGAAGCGACCCAGGTTTTCCAGGGGCTTCACCTTGGGAAGACACCAAGGCCTTTCTCGCCTCCTTTGAGCAGGTGGCCCAAGCCTGCCAGTGGCCCTCAGAGCAATGGGTGGCCCATCTTCTGCCAGCGCTGAGTGGAGAAGCCGAAGAGGCCTTCCGAAGTCTGGAAGCCAGAGATCGGGACGACTATGGGAAGGTGAAGGCCGCCATCTTGCGAAGGGAAGCCCTGAAAATGGAGAGGCAACGCCAACATTTTCGGCAGTTCTACTGCCAGGAGGTGGGAGACCCCCGGAGGATCCACAGCCAACTCCAGGAGCTTTGTCTCCAGTGGCTGAGGCCGGAGAGACGCACCAAGGAGCAGATTCTGGAGCTGGTGATTCTGGAGCAGTTCCTGGCCAGCGTCCCATCGGACCTCCAGA